ACAGAAACACCACCACCAGTATCAACAACCCCATTCACTGGAGAAACATCAACCACCAAGACAACCACTTCAGGCCCCACACCCTCAAGATCCACTGCTCCCACCACCACAGTAGGAACAGAAATAAGTACCCTAAGGACGACCTCTGCTACTGGTCCTACTCCAATAACATCACCTACATCAACCAGACCTGTGTCAACCACCACTTCTGGTACTACTCCAACAGCAAGCTTTACCACCACTTCAGGAACCACCTCTAGTAGTTTTATCCCAACCAATGCAACCACCACCTCCACCACCTTCAAAACCCTTTCCCCTGGCTCAACTGCTACATCTGGGCCTACTGCAACATCAACTGCAGTCACCACTACGGGAAGTTCTACACACAGTGCAACTCCTCCAGTTAGTGGCTCAAGTACAAGTCTAACACCAACCATTCCTAAAAAAAATTGTACTATTTTCCCTAATGAATCTTATGAGGTGAGTCGATTTCATACTTTCATTGTGCTTTGGATGGAGACTTGATACATCACTTCAGTATTAGTAACATAGAAGGCATTAATCTGGTTAGGAAAGGAACTATCAGTCTGTTCTGTTTATTTAGTTTCGTGGGCATCAGCAGGACTTGCAATGATATTTGGATTGATAGTTTATATATTGGAATTAGCTCTGCAAGGATGATTTTTAAAAAGCTTTCTGCAAGGAGCTAGATCGCAGCTCAGTGTTTGTCTTTGTTTTAGGATAGCTCTGATGAAGAGGAAACCAAGAGCTAAGTGGTGTTAAGCTTTCTTTTCTATTTCTGCTTTTGAATAAGTCCAGAGTGGGTAAAAGTTGTTTGTCTGTTTACATTGCAGCCCAACAGAAATCCACAGGGCTGAATTTGTCTGAGTTTGGAATGAATCATACTTGTTTACAGACTGGTTTCAGGAGAGGACTGTGAAACAGATCACTGCATTCAAATACTTACGAAATTTGACTCAGTTTTTTGGCTTTTTTTTTTTAAACCCTCCACCTCTGACATAGACAAGTTAATGTCTTGTACATTTCTAAAGCCTCCATATAGTTTAGATGCATACCAACTTGCTCAGCAGATCTGCAGGAATAAAAATTATACATGGCTGAAAAACTGATAGAAGATAGAAAAAACCTCATGCTATCTCAGTGCATGTATATAATCACCTTGGACATTTTCCCTCAAACAGTTGTTCACTATAGCTTTAGCTATTAATCCGTTCTAGGCATTAATGGAAGGGAATTGATCATATATTGGCCATTCATATTGATGAGTGTCTTTCACTGTTCTTTAGAGAGTGTGTTAAGGTGATGAGATTAGATGAAACATCTCACTTTTACATAGCTGAAACTAGAAAGGAGATTCCCATTTCAGTTTACTGGCTTGACTTTTGTAAGTAATGTTTTTCACTTAGCAGCTCTCAGTTGTTCTAGCTCATCTTGCAGACATAGATAGTGCTGACTGATGCACTTCCATCCTATTTTCAGATTTCTGGTGGGGGAAAGCTTGTCAGTAAACATATGGCTTTTTAGAAACCTGCAGAAGATATTCAGGCATAACTGTTGTCAGTCTTACTGCGTCCTAAGGTTTGTCTCTGTCTCCTCCCTGCCCCTCTCTTTTCAAACACAGGAAGGTGACTCATGGTGGCTCTGTAACTGCACTAAGGCAATATGTATAGAAGACAACATTGTCCAGGTGATTCCAGTAATCTGCAATCCACCTCCAAAACCCACATGTGCCAATGGACTGTCTCCTGTGCGAGTCATTGATGAAGATGGATGCTGTTGGCACTGGGAGTGTGATTGTAAGTATATATTTTGTTGAATATTTAATCTCCTGAGGGAACAATACTATTGTCAAGGCCAACAATATTTATCAGGGAACAAGTATTGTGCAAGGCTATGACTCAGTCTTCTAGTGTTGGTTTGAGTGCTCTGTTGATTCTTTTTAGCCAATGGCGGGATTTGCTTAAGTTGCCATTATCTCTACATAACTGTTGTGTTAGTAGAGTAAATTGGTCTCCCAAAGTAGGATTTAAATGTCCAGAGGCAGCCATCTGTAGGCTAGAAGCCTATATATATGTTACTTGTTCAGACTGTTGTTAAAGATGTATCTATGGTACAGTTAATCCTATTCTCAGTTGTCTGTCATTAATGTCAGATGAACTGTGCATTGAAAGTGCCTGGTTTTTATTGATGACTTCTAGCTAATAAGCTTATGCATTGACATATACACATTATTAAAATTAAGATGACCAAGTTCACTGAGATGTTTCCCAAACCAACAGATTTAGCTTGTAGTCTGATATGTTTTTATTTTGTATGTTGCCATAATAGCCTAACTTAGCTGTATGTTTTTTTAGGCTACTGCACTGGCTGGGGAGATCCACATTACATGACTTTTGATGGATTGTACTACAGCTATCAAGGGAATTGTACATATGTCCTTGTGGAAGAGATCAATAAGAATGTTGACAACTTTGGTGTCTACATTGATAACTACCATTGTGATGCACGGGATGTAGTGTCCTGTCCTCGAACGCTCATCGTGAGACATGAGACTCAGGAAGTGAGGCTAAGAACAGCACAGCCAAATACTCTAAAAGTAGAGGTACTAAAGAATGTTACCACTGATTTCTTGATTCAGATATTAATACTGCATCAACAGGATAATTATATTCTCACTGTTTGGGAAAAAAATGAATCTGTGTTTTAGATTCAGTAACAGCTTAATTATAAAATTGGACTACTTCAAAGGACTACTTCAAAGCATTTTTTTACTCCAAATGTGGAGGAGAAAAAATTATACAACTTCCTGTCTTTTCAATCTCAAATCTTTTCAGATCTCTCCTAAATACACAAATGTGGACAAATTGCTAAGAATTAAGGATATAAAACAGGTTAATTTATAATTAACATTAATGTAACAAAGGAAAACAATGTGGAATGGGAGGAGATAATATAAGGTAGACATAACAAGAAGCATTTTTTAAAAGTACCATTAGTAGCTTTGACTTGTGTCATCTTTTTAATTTTTCGGAATAGGGCACTTATGTTTATTCCATTGATAAATGTGATGTCATAGTTTTGAGGTTTCAGAATTACTGAGAAGTGTTTGGGGCTTTTTGTAGCTTTTTACTATTTGTTTGGTTTATTTTTGTACATTACTGTGTGAGAATATTATGTTAGGTTGCAGCATATTGTTGAAAATTTACAACATTTAGACCTCCCTTTTTTTCTCTAAAGCAAAGGAATCTCTGATAGCTGAGTGAAAGTAGTAGTGTTAGTTTCTCAGGTGGCTACTGTATTTAAACAAATAATACAGTTTTAGTCTTATTTCTGTTACTGAATTTTCAGTAAGCATGTTCCTGTTATGCCAAGAAACCTAAAATTTTATACCATATGAATTTAGGAGAATTTTTTATTCCGCTTTTATGAGGAGTCCTTGATGCCATAGTCATTCTAATAAGTCTGTCGAGTGTTAGGATTTATCTGATTTAAACCTTGAATTTATAGCCTCATTTGTTGATGGTTGATGGGCTTTTTGTGGCTCAGAGAAGAAAAGTTTGACTTTCCAGTAACAAAGGAAACACAGGAACATTTGTTACAAATTAAAATTATATTATTTACCTTTACATTCTCTCTGCAAAACAAAGGAACAGTCAATTGTTTTGAAAAGTCAAACTAAATTTATGCCTCTTTTCTGTTTTCCTTTATTTATTAGGTGACAGTAAACAACCAGCTCGTGGCTTTGCCTTACAAGAAGTTTGGCGTGAGCATCTATGAGTCAGGCATAAATCGTGTGGTGGAAATTCCTGAGCTGAAAATGAATGTGACCTACAATGGCTTGTCCTTTTCTATCAGAATGCCCTACAGCCTGTTTGGCAACAACACCCAGGGACAGTGTGGTAAGGCTTACTCTTCCAATTTTTGCACTCAGAAAACCACAGCCCTGCTGTAAAGATGAATGGAATTTCCTAACAAATCTGTGAGTGAATTCTTTCTCTCCTTACCACCCTTAGGTACTTGCAATAACAACACAGCAGATGACTGCATGCTGCCAGATGGAACTATTGCAGATAACTGTGAAACCATGGCAGATCATTGGCAAGTTGTTGATCCTTCCAAACCACAGTGCTCTCCAGGCCTAGTTCCTACAGGTTCACCAAGCACAACACCAACGCAGCCTTGCAAAGAATCTTCCATCTGTGAGCTTCTTTTGGGAAGGTAACATTACTCTTAGTTTTTCAAGCCTTTGGTCTTTGATTTAAATGGAAATTTTAGGATCAATTTACCAGTGGAAAATTTTTCTAACTATTGCTCTATTTCTTGTATCTTTATGGTTTGCTTCTACTCCTTTCACTTTTTCTGGTTGTTTTTTGCTGACGGTTTCTTTCAAGCCTCTGTCTGCCATGTTAATCTTTGTTGATGTTCCCACATTCTTCTATACTCTCAGCCCTCCCCTGTCCCATGTTCTTGCCTTTTCTCACATTTACTTAGCAGAAAACAGAGATCTTAATTGGTAGAACACCATGTCAGAACTGCAAAAGAAAAAAAATCAAAATCCCTTTAAAGAGATAGCACATGGTTGCACCCAATAATATACAGCTCCTGGACCCAAAGACTCCTAGACTGTTGGTGTCTAAGTGTTTTGTAGGTGAGTGAAAGAAGATTTTAAGATATGTTGGAAGGTTACTATCTGGATAAGTGCTCTTGGCACAAATCTCTCATCAGTAGTCCACATCCACATCCCCTTTAATCTCCCATGTTCTCTGTTGCCACATCGTAACATGTTAAACACATTGAAAAATGTATGAATCATTCAGTAACTAATAATGATAAATATTTCTTTTTCTAGTGTGTTCGAGCCATGCCATGCATTTGTCCAGCCTGAAAAGTACTATGCAGCCTGTGTTTTTGATAGTTGTGTACTTCCCAACCTAGACCTGGAATGCTCCAGTCTGCAGGTCTATGCTGCCACCTGTGCTGATCAAGGTGCCTGCATTGACTGGAGAAGCCACACCAATGGTGTATGCTGTAAGTATCTGGCCATTCATCTTGAATTTTTAAGGAAGATTACGTGGAACTGTTTCAGCAGTAATGTCATACTGCTTTCAGAGTAATGAAGACACTAATAAATCACAGCAGCTTCTCTCCATAAGTAGTTTTGCAGGTAACGTTTTTAACAATGGAAATGGGCCTTCAAAAATATACATGTATTGACTATTCCAGAAACATTTGTATCAGTACATACTGTTTTGGATATAGGCAGTTCTATGCTTTGCAGGCATCAGCAGATCACTTTATTTGGTGACATGTACATTAGTTTTCATCTGAAGAGCACAAAAGGAAGAAAGACACTCCTCTTTGAGAGCTTATGCAAAAGAGACTGAAATTATGGGAAAAAATTGTAATCAAATGTAGACTCTAGGCTTTATCACCTCAGTGTAAAGTACAGTACTGTACCTCTGTGGCTAAATTGCACAAAATTATGCCATTTAGAGACATGAGTCTATCTGGGCTTTTTCCTCTTTGCTTCTCAAGATTGTCATAGATATATAGGAAAATGAGTAAACAGTGTTTAAGTTCTTGGCATAAGGTCATGGGGCTTTTATATGATATTGTTACTGAGCTGTTCCTCCTTTTTGTTCTTCCATTTCAGCTCATGAATGTCCTCCAGGTAAAGAATACAGAGCATGTGGTCCTATAAAAGAGACGACCTGCAAGTCAAGGTAAAAAATTCCTTCACAGTTACTTATAGCTTGTACAATTATTCAGTCATATCTAATGCACAGGTGAATGAGCAAAATCAACCTCCTCTCATATCTTAAACTGACTGTCAAATTTATTAGCACTATTCTGCTGACCCTAAATCTGGGTGCCTGAACTGTTTCTGTTATATCAAACACAGACACCAACAAGTCCCAATCACAAATGTGCAGATCATTTGCCATTGTCATTTCACTGAAAGGTTATTCAGCATAATCCTCCTGTATGTGCCTGTGACATTAATGGTGATCCTCTGAACATTTTGTCTCACAGAGGACAGAATGACACATCAACTAAACAAGTGGAAGGCTGTTTCTGTCCTAATGGAACCATGCTGTATGACTCTGGTGTGGATGTCTGCGTGAAGACCTGTGGTAAGTTTTACTGCTTCACTTGGATGCATGTTTGTTTCCTCTTTGTTTCCTTCTGTGTATGCAACGTAGATTTGACTGTATGCAGTGCTCATACAATGTATAGTAGAGATGCCTCCTGTTATGTGACTGGTAATGGGAATTTATTTTGGTATTTTCCAGGCTGTGTTGGAGTGGATATGATACCAAGAGAGGTATGATGCTGTATGCTTTTGGATTTTCAAGTAGAAGTTTGGGTGGGGAGAGGAGAGTGGTCTCCACTAGTACAATCTTGTTTTGTCATCTCTGGACTTTGTATTCCTGGTTTTACTTCTGTTCCTTTTAACTGGTTGCTATGCAATCACTCATTTTATTGTTTTTCAATGACAGTTTGGAGAAAGGTTTACAGTGGACTGTCAAGACTGTATTTGCCTGGAAGGTGAACATGGCATTGTATGTGGGCCTCATGTATGTGATCAAAAGAAGGTCACTTGTGATGGAGAAGGCTTCTATGAAGTCACTGAAGTCAATCCTGAAGACTCCTGCTGCCCTCTTTTCACTTGCAGTGAGTTTATACTTTTGTTTCTGGTCTTTCTATACCTCTTGGAAATAGAAAGGAAAAGAGACTGAACTAGCTTAGTACCAGAGATCTACAGCAGGGAGTCACAACATCGTATCTTTCCTCATGCTTTTAAAAATCGACTTGCCCAGTGCTAGGGAAAATACATTTTAATATTGCAATGATTCAGTATAACTGAATTTACAATTATGGGACTCAACATAACTCAAGCTATAGTTCTTATGTTCAGGGTCACATTTTATTTAAGCAAAATGCAGAGATATTATGGAATTCTCTGTGGATTTTCACTTTCTAGCAGTTGCCTAATATCCTGGAGAGAGTAGGAGTTGTTCCCTACTTCTTTGCCTAGAATGGTGATACTTTATCAGCACAGAATAATTGCATTGTAGAAAAAAATTCATTAACTAATACAATACCCCATATCCAGTGGCTGGATTTATGAGGAAAACGTGTTCCCTATCTGCAATTTTGTTTCTTTGAAGAGAATCTGGACTGTTCACTTGCAATGGAAAGTTCATCCTTAGAGCTTTGATAAGTGCTTATTTCTAGTAGCTGTGATTTAGTGAACTTTCTGGCTTACTCTTTTATTTTTTTTCCCTCCTCAGAATGCAATACAAGCTTGTGCACAGCCAAAGCTCCCAAGTGCTCACTGGGATTCGAAGTTCATTCTTACATTCCCAGTGGTCAGTGCTGTCCTGTATACCAATGTGGTAAGTCCCTTGGAAATATATTACAATGTTATAGCTTTATTTATTACATAATTTAGCATTACACTTAATAAGACTGTATGCAGTAGCCTATTGAAAGAGGTGTTAAACAAGTCAGATTGTATAAATTCACTGCTATTAAAATTGGTTATCAGTGCTATAGTTATGAAACTAGGGAATCAGATATAGCTTAGGGGCCTCAAGTTCAGTGTTCTGCTTATAAATACACGTAAGAACAGCTACAGAATTAACTGGGATGATGGTCTCAGCTTAGTCTAGCAAAAAGTCCCTAGAATCTCCAGTAGAAGACAGATTTACAGTTCCTGGTAACTAAAACAAAGAATTACTTGTATCTGTTAAATAGACATTCTTGGCTATGAACTGGACTGTGTATTTTGGTTCAAATCTTTTTCCCTACTTGCACATGCAGTATTAGTTTTTATACTTTGTACATGTCCTGTCTGCTACAGAATTGGGGAATAACCATATGAATTGTGACTGATTGTGGAAGAAATGAGTTTGATTAGAGTGGGGTGAAGACATTTTTTATTCTTTTTTCCTATCTAAACTTCTAACTCCTTGCTTATCAACAGTTCCCAAGGGGGTTTGTGTACACGAGAGTGCTGAGTTCTTGGTAAGTTCCTGTTTCAACCATCTTCTAAAAGTGCTTAAAACACCAGTTAGTATACTTATCAGAAATGCTATGAAAAGGTTTATCCGGTACAACAAATATTTTAGAAATTTTCAAATTTCTGTCAGGAGTTTACCAGTTTCAGAAAGCCTAAGTATTTTCTGAAAAGTTTCCTGTGTAGGAGAAAACTTGAAGAGCTGCATGTATGCCAGTATCATAGAGGAACTTGGGTTAAGCGTGCTGGCATTTAAAAAAGTCAGTTCACATTTACTGTCAGCGCATTACTGCAGTTTTAAACTCTATTTTCAAAAATTAAAAGTCGTATAAATAAGTATTATTCTAACCAAATTTAGATTTCTAATAAATTCTCTTGGGTCTAGTAATTATACCTGTTCTTTTAATATCAGAGTTTGTCATTGCTTTGCAGGACTTCAATAAAGACACACATTAAATTATATTCAGTATTTTAAATGTTGTCTTCATAAATGTCTAGCCAAATAGTTATCCAGATGTCTTTACAATTTTTTTCCTTTTCCACTGCTTCATTTACAGATTTTTTAAAAATTAATAAATGTCTGTTAGACATAATATCTCATTACTATGTGATTTGATTTCTTTTTTCTTAAAATGTGTAGCCCAACTCCTCAGTCTTTGTTGACAAGTGTCAGAATTGTATCTGCACAAATGATGTTAACGTCAGCACTCAACTGAATATCATCTCCTGTGAACATGTCCCCTGCAACACCTACTGTCAACCAGTAAGTGGCAAATTTAAAGAAACAAAAGACCTCAAAATACTAATATATTTTATTAATTGATTTTAATATTTAATTTAAAATAATATCATTTCAGTTATTAAAATACAATACTATAATTAAGCAAAGGACAGGGAGTTGAAACCCAGAGACTAACTCCAGCATGGATATCAACTGTTCTTTGAGCAATCTACTGCCTGAGACTGGCTGTTTAACTGTCAGCATTCAGTTCACACTGGCAGAATTAGCTGGGAAATTTCTCTAGACCACCTTGTGGAGTGATATTTAATTATTATACATATTTATTCTAGTACTTTAATTTATTCCATTTATAACCTGCTTCTATTACTTGTCTTCTGTTGGGTTGGAATACAAAAAGGCATCAATCTAGAGTGCACTTCAAAGTATAATCAATTAATGGATTCATATGCTTGCATTTATTTCTCAAAAATTTATCATAATGCTATTGTTTTTATTTTATTTCTAGGGATATGAGATTAAACCAGTGAAAGGTGAATGCTGTGGAAAATGTGTGCAGACCAAGTGTATTATACACACAGCAGACAATTCTGAACTCATCTTGAGTGTAAGTATTCTCTATGTCTTAGGTCTCCACCAAATCTGTAAAGTTCCCAGTTCCAGAAGGGGAACATCTCCTTGCCAGAGATAAGGCTTTAGTATAAGTTTGCACCTGAAAGATCAAAATCTCATCTAAAGCAAAATCTAGCTACAATCTTTTGACCTGAAGGTAGGTCTCATGAAACAAAATTATCTGTAAGGCCTTTCCTGGAATGAGAAATCCAATACCATTGGAAGGGGTTTTCTTCCAGTGTCTGGAAGCTTGGGCTTTTCTGTTATTTTATTTCTGTATGCTGAAAAACACTGTTAAAGCCTCCATATGAAACAATTCTATTGCCCTAGTAGGATGAAGGTTTAGGTTTTTTTCTTAATTCACATAAAACAGTCTAGCCTTTTGAAGGCAAAATCCATTGGCATGGATGATTTTATTAAACTACTCCATGTACTTTAGAGACATTTTTCTTTCTCAAGGAAAATACCATATAAAACTGAAATTCTCTCCATGTATGACATAGTGCAACACATGTCATAATCTGTATCCCAAATGGCTGTTAACCTAAAAATAATTGACTGGGAAACAAAATGAAAGTCATTATCGGGGCAAGAAAATTTCTGTCTGAGTTCCCTTCAGCTTTCCTTATTACATTACATTTCACTTGCAGCCTGGAGACTTTAAAAATGATCCTCAAAACAACTGCACCATTTATAGCTGTGTAGATGTCCACAACCAGCTTATTGCTTCCACATCTGAGATTACCTGTCCAGCATTCAATGAGGACAGCTGCAAGCCTGTAAGTAAAAATGGAAAATTTACTCTCTACCCCATACATAGATTACTTCAGTGTAATTCAGCCATTTAACTAACAACAAAAGTAAAATTTAGCTCTGATGGCCTTTTGTCATAATTTCTCAGTCCTAAGAACAAAAGTTCTGGATGCAAACATGCACAGCCCTACAGAGTGTATAAAATAAGATACCTGGCTGAGAATTCAAGGTTTACAACTGGTAGCTGTTTCTCAGTAGCCAAAATACTGGTCAGCACCGAGATACTGAATCTTTGTTTGGGGTTCTGTCTCAGCAAGAACCAGGTTTCCTTGAATGTTAAAGAAATAAATGCGAAACGCAAGCTGTTCAGTCAGCAGGCTGCCAGTAACACTGTGCATGGTCCCCATTCAAATACAGAGGACTCTAAGAAACTCTTGGAATTGCTTCTGAGGAAAAATTGCATGATGTTAACTGTAGACTTCCTAGAAAGAATTAGTTTTTATTTTCACAATCCTTTGTAAATTGATAGATTTCAAGACAGGAAGAAGCTGTTATCTTTGCTTATTTAGATCCATGTTAAAATTTTCACTGGTTATTTCCAGTCACTGAAGAATTGCTCTCCTCAGTTTTTTGCCTTAATGCCTATTTAAAATAGAAAAATAATCCATTATTTTTTCTCTGTTTCTTTTTTCTTTCAGGGAACTATTTCATTCTTACCTAATGGTTGTTGCAAGACCTGTAAGTATGCCAGTATATCTGAATCAACAATATAGAGAATGAATTGTCCTCTTAAATCAGCCCATTTTCCAGATAAATTTGTATTTAAATATCTACTTTTATATTTATCATTCCAAGCCTTCACTGTCCGATCTCTCTGGAGAATTTTAAGCCGAAGCAGAAAGATCCCTTAAGGCAATTCTTTGAGTGCACTAGTGAAGCCCAGGGAACGCTGAGATGTGAGGGACTTCTGGAGCTCTTTCACTGAAAGTATTTTCTGCTCTTTCCCTGCAGGTGCCCCTCTGGACAGCAGCACCCCGTGCACTGTGCGCCACAGGACAGATTTCATCGTCTACGATGGCTGCCGCTCCGTGGACAGAGTGGACTTGACTGAATGTGAAGGAACATGTGGAACCTTCTCGCTGTAAGTAAACTCACCAGACAATGAGATTTAAGTCCTGGTGGCACTGAGCTTGTTTATATAAAGGGAACAATAAATAGTAGAGTACGCAATGGTAGAAGACCTGGAACTATCTGCTTCCTGAATCATGGACAAAAAAAATCATGGAATCTGTGACCGGTTGATTTATCATAATACGAAGCAGAAGAGTGTATTAAATTCTCTTGGGATTCAGACAGCTCTGATAAGACTTATTAATCCATTTAGAGCTGGCTTTGTGTCAGACCACCTAGGCTAGAAATCATCACAAAAGAGCATGGATTATTGCCTGTAATGAGAATGAGCCCAGAGGGCAGCCAGGCTTGACAACTGAAAGTGGAAAAGCTGCTTCTCAATAGTTAACACTTAAAATGAAATACACATACATCTTTTAAAGGAAGATTTGAATATGCGTGGTTTGTATACAGTGGAGAAATGAGAAAATGAATGCTTTAGGTGTGATATTAGTAGAGTAACTTGACTGTACATTTTTCTCTGAAATGAGAGAATATAGTAAAAAGTTACTATAAGGAAGTGGTTAGTAGGACACCTGGTAGTGAGCTGCTAAAACACTGGAAAAACAACTCTAACTCTTCAAAGAAACTGTCACTTACTGCCTATCACTGAGTCTGCCACAGTGCACCTTATGTGGATAAAACCTGATCTTTAGTATCACATGAAACTCTGAGAAGCCAGGGAGTTCATTAGTATTTTGAAATTCCTGATCATCTGAGGGTCTTGCTGTGGTTGCTTCTACCAAATATAAGAAAAAGATGGATCTTGTCACAGTTTGTAGCCTAATATTGACAGATTCTTCAGGTTAGGAATGGTGCTTAGGAAGCTGATGAGCACAAGGCTGCAAAAATACTTTGCTGTGAGATGGGAACAGAAAGAGCTGCTGCTTTCCCTTTGTGTTAACACTGCACCGATTGGGTTATGCATTTTATAATCACTGTTCTGTCAGATGAGCTTAGTGCTTCCATTAGTCACAACTGCAGCTCTTCTCACAGGAGCTCTGTACCTGATTTCACCCTCTCCTGTACATTGGCTTCTGGCACAGAGTAACGTTGCCATTTTGCATGTTAACAGATACTCTGCTGAGGCCAATTCTATGGACCACAGCTGCTCCTGCTGCAGAGAGACAAGCACCACTGAGAAGCACGTGGTTCTGAAATGCCCCGGTGGGCACTCAGTGTCACACAAGTACATCTATGTGGAGAGCTGCAGCTGTCAAGACACTGCATGCAGCAGAACACAGTCCAGCGAGCAGCAGAACAACGAAGAAAATGCCAAGGCGAGCACTCTGAACCGGGTCGAGAGAGCCATCAGCTTAACATCAAAATGAGGGCAAAAAAAACCTGGCATCGTTAACTAAAAGGACTGAAAACCATTCTTAACTTCCTTGGCTACTTTTGGACTTTACTCTTCCCAGTAACTGCATCCTGTTTTTTCTCTAATTAATTTGAATTGTGCTCTATTTATTTGTGCACAAAATAAGAAGACAAAGTTGTATTCTTACACGTGCACAGCCTCTTGGGTCCTCTTCAAATCTGCTTATTTTTCTCTCCATGATTAAAAGCACATCTCAAAAAGCATGACTTTTGTATTTATTCTTATATAGTCTTGATGAGTTTGAGTTTGAAGAGAGAAGAAAAATTCTTTTTCAAGTTATAGGAAGTCAAGTAATTTCCTAAGTTTTTGGGGTATCTACTCCTGGCTCCTTAAAAGCTGATCAGACTGTGCTGTACAGAAGACCCAATCTAAGGTGGGAGAGAAGATGATGCCAGAACAAAGGCAAAGATGAATAATGATTGTGAAATTATTCAGATGACTTGGAGAAACTTCTAGTTCAGCACCACAACTTACTTTAGCAGGGCTCTGTATGTTAAAACTGTCTCAGTTCATTGCAATTACGTGTTTTCACTAAAAAAGTAATCCCTCAGCTATGTGAAGTTCACTCACAGTGCTTTCAGGATGTATAGTTACTACTGTAGTAAGAGCTCTCCAAATTCCAACATTTGCAAAACAGATGCCCATCACTAAGCTGGTAATCCTTAGCTTCCTCTGCAGAAAATGGAAAGCAATAGCCATTTTTGATATTAATTGTCTCACAGCAAAGGACATATCTAAAGGATTGCCTGTTTATCTTATTGTAAGGGGAGCTGAAGCAGGTAATGGGAAGTTATTAATTTCTCTTGAATCATCTTAGAGTACAATCTGTTGTAGGGAAAACAAAAATTCTTTTGGCTTATTTTGTCTCCAGTAATGAAATCTTCATTGGCAATAGCCAACTTCAATACTGGCATCTTTGCTACCTAAAGGATTGGTGGCACCATTTTTTGCTACTAGTGGCCTATCAAATGTGCTGCAGCTTAAAAGGCAGATAAGATTTCTGCCTTTTTATAAGACTGATAAGGATGTGTAGAAAATGAAACTCCACATTTTTTTCATCATTACAATACTATGATTGGAAAGCAGATTTCTCTGGAGTTGGAGAGATAGCTGATCTAACAAGAAGGAAGTTTTATCAGTTTACAGAGCAAGCTGCAGAATTAGTGAAGCCCAGTTTCTGCTTTAGTACGGGTTTCTAAGGATTTCTATCTCTATATTCATTGTGAGATGCGACTGAGTTTTCTCCCAGGGCACTTGCAAAGTCACTCTCCTCTGTGGATTCTTTGTTATCCAACAATTTCTGTGCTGACACTAGAACCATACATTTCCTTAAGCTTTTCACAAAAACTGCTTTTCTCAAAATCTGTTGACATTTAACTGTCTTTGAGCTTTTCATTTTTGCAGTTAAATTTGGCTGAAGTCAGCAAATAAATTCTGGAGACAGATACAAGGTGTGATCAAACCTGCCCTGTTTCCTGTGAAAAAGAGATAAAATATTACTCGTCAGTAGTGGCAGTTTGCAGCACACTGTATTTACACTGAAACATAAAATCTTCCTGGCTTCATTTATTTTTCATTTGGTCTGCAATTTGCACAGGTTCTTTCTGTCCCTTCTAGTGATGGGCAAACTACTTTTGAATGAGAAATTCTAAAGGTCCTGGATGAAAGTCAGTAAGGCTGCAGATTGTGGCTTCACCACTGCAGGGCAGTCTATGGCTGAGAATGTAAAGTCACATACCAAAAAAGCAAGCTGCCTCAAAAGGGAGTTTCTGTTTCATCACGTTGAGGGTTTTATCTCTGAGAAGAATGAATGCTGATCTCTCCCCACTGACATTTATATGCTCTTAGTAAGCACTGGAAAAACAATTATGCTGACGGGAATTTAAGTGCAAGGTTGTTTGTCACAGTGCTCTGCATTATGGCAGCCCTCTCGGTTTTGGTGCTGGGTCAGTGCTGCCCATAAGGAGGTTCACAAGCACACACTGTCAGAGAATTCTAACTTACAAGTGCTTGGCAGTTCCAGGTCACACTGCACGTGTCAAACCTCCACCTCCTTTTGCACTTAGTCACCTCAGGACTTTGTGGATGACAGAGTTGAACAGATATTAAATTTTCTCCAGTGAAGAAATCCACCAATAGTATTTGGGAGAAAAAGGAAGGAAAAAAACCTTAACTGTGTATCCCTACAAAGTAGCGGCAGTGAGCAGCAGTTTTGCTCCCCTCCACAACCCTCTTGGAAGTAAATTGAGAATTGTATTATCTGATCCCAGGAAGCATTTTGTTTCTTAAGCAAGAGTTGTTGGGTCTGCAGGCCACAAGAAGAGATTCTTCTGGAAAACCCAGGAAAAAAAACTGAGGAAATGTCTCTCATCACCCTCTCTTCAAGGGTGATATCAGCACATTAGGGACTCAGGAGATTGTGGAACCTTCTGATCCCATTGTCTTCCAGGCAGGACCTACCATAAAGGACCCTAGCAGCTTCATATAAAGCATTAGTGCTGGACTGGAGTGGGCTTGACTCTCTCTGTCCTCAAAGAATGACTCCCTTCTCCAGGCATTGCCTTGTCTTCTGGAGTCTAGCAAAAAGGGAGCAGTAGCAAGAGCCTGTGTCTTGTCTCCATGCCCAAGTCCTGTGTTCATCTCCTCCAGACTTTCTGTCTAGCCTCCCACTTTCATTGGTGGTGAGGGATTTCTCTTTGGTTTTTTTCTTGTTCTTCCTCTCCCAGTACTTAACAGTTTGAACTTTGTCTTGAAAAATGGAGAAGCCTTCTTGGGAGGCAAATAGGACTTCCAGTGACACTTTGACCCTTTGAAGGCACCAAAACCCGAGGTCCCACCCAACTCCTGCTGTCCAAGATCACATGGGTTTCATTCTCACTTGTCTTCTCATCCAAGATAGTTTGAATCTCAAACAATTTCCTTGTAGTTACCTGGACATGCACTGGAAATTGAGTGTTGCTCACAGGACTCTTCAGCAACACAGTGAGAACTTCTATCTTCAGTTAAAAAGGAGCTCACAGAAGATTTGTTCATAAAGAGAGCACAGTTGTTTTATGAAGCATTACTGGACATGTATTTTGAGAACACCAGACAGAAAGGAAAATCCTTGTTAGCAATGTGGAAGAATCACTGCTCTTGAGGTGAGGCAGATGGGATTCAGAAAGAGGGGAAAATCCACATGCAAACTAAGAAGAATTCTTCCCAAAATAATATAAAGTAGGGGTTCCTGGTCTGATAACTACCTTGTTTTCTGATCTATGTTCTTTAATAGTATTATTTTGTGCTGTGGGAAGGGTAAGATAAAATTTTCAGTGTGTTTACCATTTGACTGTACTTTGCTAAACCACACTTCACTGAACTAAGCACATGCAACTCTGCACATAAGCCCCAGTGAAAGGACTTTAGCAAAGGCAAAGCCCTAAGTAAATAATCATGCAGTTACTGTGCTTGTTATACACTGTTGCACTTGTCTGGAAAAGCAAACTCAGATACCAGCAAAAGACAGAAATAGACTTACAAACTCTGAGATCATAGGAAAGAACATTCTTGTAGTTTTAGGTCTGACAAAAAAGGAAATACATTTAAATAACTGCAATGCAATTTCTGAAATTTCACCTCTCAGTGGAAGCTTTGAGGGGTAGGAGAGTATTTTAAGGTTCTTAAAGTTGAGCAGCCCTCTTCCAGGGCCAAATTTCCAAAATTAACTCACTCTTTTGAGGCTGCCACAAACACCTGTGTTCTTAATTGGCAACCACCCAGACTAAGGTCCAAACAGGTCCAAGCAGGCTACCTAAGCCATATTTCTGTCACTAATATGGAAAATCCTGTAAGTTCTTTTTCAGCATCATGCTTCTAAAATCTGTTCCGTGCAAACTGAATTCCCTTTAATGTTCCAGTCTCACTCTTAAATGTTCCAGTATCACTCTTACATGAAAGGCTTGAATTCTTTTCACAAACTAGTCTCTAGAAGAGTATAAAACACCACTGTGATGTTTTCATTACCCCAAGACTTTGAGAAAACTCAAGCAGAGAGAAAGTATGGCAGAGCTGGCGCTGAGAAGGAGCACCTGTGCTCCACGCAGCTTTCTTTTAAGCAGTAACAAAAGGCAACAGTGATCAAGGAATGTCCTTTACACAGTGGCCTGTGACCTGACACAGCAGTTAAATTTCAATAGCCTATCCATTTGGACTAGTGTAGCTGAGCACTTCTTGCCCTTTTTTTGCAGAATCTATGGGATCTTGTATGATTATTCTTCTCCTTAAAAGCACAGGGAGTCTGAGCAAAACGTAAGGGCAGGTACTTCTTGGGTGGCTAATTCTACCTTCCACACAGGCCAAGGCCAAGGTTGCTTAGATTCCCACCTTAACTTGTTTTCTGCCCCATCTCTTAGCCTTTCTTTTGGCTTGCAGTAACTTTCAGTCACGATGGACATGGTTACTGAATGTGTAATTTCATGTAATTTCAAGGTTGTAGAGACTTCAGTATTAAGCATGCAGTGGCCTCTTCTGAATTATCTTAGCACCCAGGAAATAAGAAATTGCTTTTTAGAAAGAGGTAGAATCTGCTCTAGCCTAAATCCCATAAAAGTTCTAATTATTAAAGCAGAAAATCCATATGCTTCCTTTAGTTCTGCTACCCCCTATTTTTCCACTAGGATAGTTGTTTAAAGAAAAACCTTTCAGGTAGAAAATCTCAAGGGCCCAACCTCCTGATGAGATGACTTTCTATGCAGGGAGTCTCTCTTACGTGAGGAAGTGCCAATAGGTCAAAGAGACCTGTGTGCATGAGCACCAATCAGCCGTGTCATTACTCCTTGTACGTGGATTTTGAAAGATCTACATCTTAAAGAAAAACAGAAAAGAGCAGCTGGACTTATTCCTCATTCCTTGCAATCAGGAATAACTAATGTCCCTGGTTTGTTCACGAAAAAGTCAAGGAGTTCTATGGCAAGATGAGAGGTTAAGGAGCTTTGTATCCATTCTAAGGCAAAATGTAAGAAAACATCCAACCACCCCATACCTAAAATTGAAATACTGAAGACATTTGTCATGTATTTTCATGGACAATTAATGACAGATATCCATTCCCTCCTTTCCCACTGCCTGATACAGATAACCTGATACCTCTGTTTCAAACTGTGTGGTATACACAAATCTGATAGATCAAATAAATCTTTAATGTAACTTTCTTAAATTCTGTGAT